CCTACTTCCTCGAGCAGTTCTACATGCTCCACTTGTGCTGTAGAAATGCAGGGAAACTGCTCAGCTTTACCTGTCTGAAGAACTCCTCCAGCAGAGACATGGTCCAGCGATGGTGGAGGTCCCAGGCCTTGGCTGGATGACTGATATCTGCTGTATGCAACAACAGTGATAAGGCTTTCGGCTTGTCAATTCTGAAAACCCAAAGGATCAAACAAGTTAATTGTCTGCTCTGGCACTGGAGAATGATAAAAATCTCACCTAAAGAGGGAAATGAGCCTGTAAGAATCTTTGGCAAGAATATTAATGGACTGAGTGTTCACAAAACCAGACAACTAAGAAAGATTAAGTGTCTGACTTCTCAGATATACCCTTCTCATAGCAATGGAGACATTAAGTGCAAGGAGAAAGTGGTGTTAGCCCTGCTGAGTTCCCTTCCTGGGATGCTGGTCTGTACAAGCATGTTTGAAGAGCTGCATGCAGTGCTCCCCATTCCAGCTGGCTATTTTTATACTCAGAAGAGGATTTAGTCTCTACTGTCTTATTGCAGTAAACAGTCAGGATCTCATTTTGCTGGCACTGCTGAGCCTACACAGTCACTGATAAATGCAGCATGTTTCACTGATAGAAAACTAGTGTGAGGTCAGAAGAAGATCCTTGCAGTAGGTTCTACAGAAAAAAAAAAAAAGCCTTTTTTTTTTTTTAATTATAACCTGAGGGGCTGGCCAAAGAATCCAGTGCATAATGCTTTTGGGAAGAGTTGGGTTCAGTTTTTAATTCCAATTCTTGACTGCTTGGAATAGCTGAAAGAGCTGTAGCTCCTGAGATTGCAGACCGGCTTGCTGCACTCTAGTCTGCTATAGGTAACAATCTTGGCTTTAGGCAGAACTGCATCCAAGGTGAAAACTGACCTTCAATCAGAGCTTTCTGCAATGTAAATTTTCTTGGGGAGAGGAAAAGTTCTGGACAACATATTCCAGTTCCCAAGGCCTCACTTCGGGAAAAAAGGGCCTTCCCTTATTGCTCCACCTGTTTGTTTTTTTTTTTTTTTTTTTTCCAAGTCCTTCCTGTGGTGCACTTCAGATTATTTTTGTCTTTCCTGTGATCATGGAGCAGGCCTGTTGCAATGGTGGCAGGTACCACCACCTGCAGAAGGGTGATGCAGAGGTTGAGTTCTGCAGCTCTTATAGCCTTGAATTATAATCAAGCTGTAGAGGTCACTCAGTCCAGCTGGATCATGTCCTTTATATTACCCTCATATGCCAAAAGAAATGACCAGGGACGCTTGTCCAAATATTGTGACCATCAGCACAGACTCGAGATGGGGGTGGGGATAGTGTCAGTCTATTCCTAAGCATATTCATTCAAAATGCAACAGCAGAATTGATGTGGACATCAAAAGAGATTGAGGGCCCCTGGAGGGGTGCTTTTTAAATCAAACACGGTGGTGATGTACCAGCTGAAATGCAGCTCCTCTCTGCACTGTGTCATTAAGTGACTCACCCTTCTGGCTGCTGCAAAGCATTCTTCATGGCTTTGATTTGCTGGAAGTGACAGGACATATCTGTGGCCAACACCATCTCTATCACCAGCGCCCTGAATTCCCTTTTGGATGACATCATGATGAAAGGAGCAAGGGAAAAGAAAAACGAACAACAAAATCAGACACATTTCATTTTTTTGTCCATCAGCAAACTATTGACAGCACTTCTGACTTGTATGTCATTCTTTCTGTTATTCCTCTATCAGGTAGGGGGAGAAAGATTAGTGATTTTCTACAAACATAAGAATGGGAAAGTTGTGAATTAAGCCAGGTGGCTAATCGTTGCTAAGAGAAATCCTAGATGCTTGTGAAGAGCCCACTACAATATCTCATTGAATTAAGTACCAACCTCCTGAATTGATGTCTCCTTAGGACCTTCTTAGAAGTTAGCAGAAGGACTGTTTAAGGCGTGGACACGAAGCATGTGAACTTTGAAACATGAATCTCTACCAAAATAACTAAAACCAAGTGTTTTGCAAATAGATTGATAACTATGTTGAAAGTTCACTCATTAAAAGAAAAACAACATATTAAAAAGTTGTTCTGATATACACAACATTGGCTTTTATTTGTAAAATAGATAGAGAAGTTATTATTACCATGTATCAATAACCCTTTTCTGTAGGAGGAATAAAATTATGATTTCTAATTGTAGCCTAGCAACATTTTAGTTTTTATATTATTATTGATTCTAATCAATGTATCCAGCTTTAGAGTACCTCTATTACGTGCCTGGTATTATTTAGGGTTACCTTTATACATTTTCTTTTGAGCATGAATTTATTTTCTCTTTTACTCAGTTCAGCAGTCCACAGGTTAAAGTTGTAATAGAGGAAGAACAGACCAAGGTTAGGGTAGCAGCCTGGAATTTGGAAGGTTCACAAGGGGTGATTTGTCATTTGTCATTTAATGTCTCCATCTTTCATGGAGACATAGTCTATTTTGAGCATGTCTCCACTGGTGGCTGTGCTCAAGTTCCAGCCCCAAGTCTCTGTTGCACAGACCCAAGACCACAGTGCTCACCCCGTCCCAAGGGAGGTTTGTAACAGGCACCCGCAGGTCCTGTGCCTCAGCTGGCCTTGCTCCCTCCCCACCATGCTCATTCCCACCCTTGCGTACAAGCACTTCCACAGTCAGGCAGCATTCAAGCCATGGCTGGGTTTCAAACAAACTTGTTTTATATATGTATCTTTTGTTACTGTTTTTGTTTGTTTGTTTTGCTTCTTGTTTTTTGTTTGTTTGTTTGTTTGTTTCAGTTCTGGGTCAGCTCCCTAGCCTGGTTCGCTTCCCAGTAGCACAAACCCTGCTTTAACAACACTGCCAAGAGGAGGCATAACAGGAAAAACTGCTTCTTTTAGCAGCAGTGCCAGCATATGGTAGCTTAAAGTGCTCATGGAATAAGGACTTCTAGCCCCACAGCTGGAAAGTCTGTGGGTTCACAGTGAAAGTCATTGTGGGTGAATTTGGGCTAAAATGTAAGTGTAACCTTAGAGCAACCACAGTCTAGAGTACACCACCAAAATATCTATCTGTCTTCCAGCACGTGGGGGTACTGACACATGTCCACTGCACACACACATTTACAAAGCCTATTCTTTACCACAAGGTTGTCGGAAATTTCTGTACTCCAGAAGACCTCAGAAATGTTTTAAATATTTTATTTTTGAAAGCAGCCCGAGCAATGAGGAGAACATTTACTAAAGTTAAACCGTCTAAAAGGCCAATCTTGGTAGAAAATTTAAAGCTTGTCACAACAAACGTGCAGTCACCCAAATGTGTCCCAGGGACCTCCTGCTGCAGAAAAAGCTACTTTAATATCATATCATATAATTTCTACACTAGGAAACAATAGCGAGATCTGCAGGTTTTGCCTCTTTTGTCCAGGTGAGGTCTCAATTCTCTCTTGGAAACTAATAGATGAGAGAAGAATTCTGTCTCTAAGGAAATATTTTCGATACCTGATAGTCACTCATGTGCCCATCCTGGATTATACAGCCATGCATCTGTAATCATATACAAATGAAGGATGTCAGCAAAGCTGTCTTCAGTCAAAACCATCCAAGGTTTGTCTCTGCCATCTCCAAAGGAACAAGACTGACTGAGACAGAGTGCAATTACTTGGAGGACCAAACCCCAAGCAGCTTTACTGACAAATTCAGTATTGCTTTAAGGGGTTACTTCCCACAGCTGTATTATGATATAGAGTTAAGGAGGTAAACATTTTCCAGATGCCTTTTTAATCCTGTACTTGACAGTAAAGGGCTTGCACTAAATATGCTCTGCTTCAACAAGCTGCATGGAAATTATTAACAGTGAAATACAGTGCCAGAAATGACATTTATAACAGTATCTTGGAAAGCATCTGTTCACTTTGGAGTTTATTTTCTTAATTCAATGTGATCTGTTTTTGTTACAACTTCTTCATTTACTTGTCGATGACTTGTGCAAATGGATTTCATCAAATGAGGCAGCTCAACTGATTTTCAAATATTTAATAAGCAGCAGAGGTTTTTAAAACAGAATGAAATGTAGCTTAAACACAAGTAAGCCTTTATCTCTTTTCTCCCAGACCATAACTCAAAAGATATTTTGGGGGCTCATCAGCTCACCCAATAACCTGTGCCCTTCTATTTAACCACAGTAAAATCTACTCTGTGTTTTCCACATTTCTCTAGTGAAAATACATTTCCTAACTAGATGACTGAATAACACAAAACCATTAAAATCCACATACACATCTAGGATTGAGAACTGTCACAATCTTCAAGTTTTCTCTTACTAATAACATCAGACTTCAATGGACCATCAGCACAAAAAGGCACTTAAGAATATGCTTTCCAGAAGACAATTGTTGGGTCTTTTGGTAGAAGAGATCTACTAGGCGTGCCTACAAAAATGAAGTTGTATTTGGACACATTTAAACTAACTCTAAAAACTTTCTTTGACATATAGAGTATTGATTTTAAGTGTCAGAATGAGAAACTTGGGGGCTTCTTGGTTTTTTATCAACACCTCAGATTCTGCTGAAGTCTGCTGATGTTTCCAGTGTTTCCCAAACACTAGGGGATTTTAAGCTGGCAGTCAAAGTCAAAAATCTCAGCATTTTGGCATTAGGACACATCCCAATAACAGCCTTTATTCTGCAGCTGCTGCTTGATCAGCAGCTACAAAATAACAAGGCCCTACTTGAGGTAGAACAAATAAGCAAACCAAACCACTCAATATTAGTTCAAGCAGTTACTCTGTTCCTTAAAGGAGACTGGTTAATCTCTGAAAGTCTCTGAAATATAAGCACCTTCCTCAGCAGCACACACATTTGGACACTATGGAATTAACATGCAACATCTGAAACTAGCTTTGAATCAAGCAACAGCAGCTTAAAGCCTCAAAGCAGAATATTTTCCTAAAAACAATGCCTAGGCCATGAAGCTGCTCCAGCAGCAGCTCAGCTGGTGTCTCTAAGAAAAGGCTGCCGTGTCTACTCACTTAGTTCCTTGCATTTCCCTTGCCAGCATAAAACGAAGCAATAATTTGCTATCAACAGTTGACAAGACATTACCAGCTGTAGCTAAAAAAATAAATTAGATTTTTAGCACCTCCATGCAGATTTTTTTTTCTTTCAGTTCTTGCTGCCCACCATGAGCCTATTTTCTATATTGGGGGGTAGAATTTCTCGGGCCACTCCTCCACAACACTCCCACTGACTGCAACCAGCCACTTCAGATCCTGGGTTTTATTTCTGGCAGCCATCTATAGCATCGTGTCACTGTCCACCCTCTTCATAAGTTGAGGTACACAGAAAGTTCAGGCCAAAGCAACTGGGAAGCAAAGCCTTTGCTGACCAGCTTACCATGAGCCAGGTCCCCAAGAGGGGCTCAGTTCCTCCAGTTCCCATTAAAATAACAATATAGCTGACTGCTCAGCACTGCATCTGATTCAAATGTATGCAGCATACACGGCGTGTTGCATAAGATGGTACAAAACACTTTCCATCCCATGAGAAAGCTCCTACGGAGCAGGATTCTTCCTGTCTAGCATACTGGGTTATTTTTAAAGTACCACCCCGTGGAGTTCAGGAAAAAAAAAAAAAAAGGCACAAAACCAGAAAGCCCCCTTCAGCTTGGATTATCTGCTATTAAAAAAAACAAGTCATGAGCTGATTTTTGAACATAAATCAAATGCTTCAGGAGACTTATTTTGAATTATATCATCTTACAGCACCTTGGGATATATATTACACTGATTTATGGCCCCTTGGACTTGATCTTCATTTTCATTTAGTCTCATTTAAAATTTTCAGGCAGGGTAAAGGGCATCTCAAAGCAGATAAAGGTTATGCTTATACTTTAGCATGAACAAGCAGCAGGCTACCTGTACACTCATTCACAACTTGGTACATGTAGAAGGACATGTCTGAAACTTCAACAGTTATGTGTGAGCCCAACAGTATATTACAACTCATGGTCATTGTCCAGTCTCACGACTGAAAGAAATGAAAATCAAAAGCAGAAACAAGCAAGATAAATGCTGTTAACATTCTTGCTATCTTCAGCAATAAAAATACTAATGGGCAGTATGCAGTAATGTTGCATTCAAACAAGGCAGTATCAGTTTAGAGCCATGTCACAATGTTCCCAAGAGCCACCATGTTTATTTTTACCTCCAGTCATCCTTTGAGAGGTTAGATAAAATATTCATCTCTTCATCATCTTGCAAAAGACGATATGCTGCACTAACATGGTGATTTTCAAGCACAGATCGGTCGTTATATAGAATGGCTGAATCTGACCTAACGTGCAAAAAAAAAAAACAAAAGAGAGAAGATTATGTTTCTTCCCTATCTAGAGTCTCACATAAATAAATTTTTCCTTGATCAGCTACAAAGATCAGTTCCTATAGCCCAGACACCATTTTATGAGCACTTGCAATATTTGTTCATTGTTACTATTCAGTCAAAGAAAATTAAAAACCAAAATTCAGCATCTACCTCATCACCTAAGATTCACCTAGTCTCTTTTTTACACATAAAAAGAAAAAAAAGATCCTGAGAGCTTTCTGGCTGCAAGAGATGCATAGATTGGAGGTTGAATCATGACGTTCCTTTCCAGCTCTTATGTGTGTTACTCTCATATTGAAGCCTGGCTGTGTCCAAGCAGGTAATTGTAAGATGTGTCCCAGTACTGTTTCCAGAACAGCAAACAGCTGTAAACAAGGTATAAGTGAACCGCCTTCTGTGCATCTGTGCATAAGACTATGTGTCCAGAAAGGAAATTTCTGCTGGGATATAGTGTGACCAAAGGTACTTTGCACCTTATTTTTAGCTCCAGGGTATGGATCTGAGACTGTTGAATGGCTGAAGTGGTCTGAAGATGAAGTGCTTGCTGGCAGCTAATGGCAATGCTAGGTGAGCGCAATCTCTTAGAGTCTCCGCTCAGTTCTGCTTCCCAGAGAGCACTGTGTATTTTTCTCCACTGATATCTTACACCCTCTGATGTTACAGGAATGGAATTAGGTCCCTAATTCTTGCATGAATGAAGCAGTAAAAATTATGAGTGTGCCTAGTCCTACCACAGAGACAGAAATGCCTGCCACTCTTCCCAAGCTTTTCTGAGCGCGTGTGATTTATCCTTATCAGCTTTTAGATAGATGTGATATACAGCATGATTCAGCTAGCATATTCTAGGCATCAAATCTATGGTAAGATGAAATGTATCTTCAAAATGCCCATGTGCCCAAGACAAGAGACACATTGTCCATTAAGGACATCTCATTTGATTACCAAAAAATTAACACTGTCAAAATAACACACAGACATTAGGTGCCAGAACTAGGCACTTCCCAGTCTTTCTATACTCTCAAATGTGGACATCTTCTCTGTTAGTTCCAAAACACTGTCAGTCCAGTCCAGTCTCTGATCAGCTAACTACCTTTCAGCAATATCCAAAGCTTTAAAAAATGACTGTGATGTACGCATGATAACTTACGACTGAAAAGTTAACTGTAAACACATGCCCTTACTGCATTTCGTAAAGCAAAACCAGTATCAGTGTGTAGTCTTGGCATTCACTATTGTACACAGTATTGAGGAATATCTGATTTATGCACATAAGTATTTGACTCTTAAAATTACACCTAGAGAAATACTCTTGAAGCAGGGAGTCTTCTCCAAAGTGACACCATTATAATAATCATCAGCAAGTTTTCTTTGGTGAATTACATGGAAATATATAGAGACTTTCCTTCTACCTGGTTACTAATATAAACCAATGACCCAGAAATTAGAATACCTGCATTCCACTGTAAATAGCTAAGCAAGAGAAAATTAAATGCAACCTCAAGAAGTGAGCTTTCCTCCTGTGACACTTGCAAGCCAAAGCTCCTGCACTTGCGTATGGCTGTGCTGCTATTCTCCACAGCTTGTCCCCTCCTGCTGATTTACCACAGCCTCACCGTGTCTGGATGTGAAAGTTGTTGGTGGTTCCAGTGTGTTCATAGTCGTGGATGGCAGCTGCAAAGATCATAGCAAAGATCTCCAGCTCTGTCAGCCAGTGCTGAAAAGAGATTACAGAGCAATCAGACAAGCTGTCATTTTCCCTGGCATTAAGGCTTTTGTCTTTTAAGGCAAGCCATCCCCTGCTGACAGTCAACACTGCACATCATTGCCTTTTCCCTGCAGCCTGCCAGCTGTTCCAAAGCAAACTTCTCTTGCTCATACATGAAAGCTGCACCAGGGTTTTTTCTGAAGCTTTCTCTAAATAAATTGAACTTTAGCAAAATGGTTACAAGAATTAACAAGGCTTGAGACAGAGTGAGCGGTTGTTTTTGGCCTTTTCCAACAGCAAAGTGGGAGGAGGAGAGAGAGGCAAACATGAAGAAAATCAAGGTTCCTCAAGCAGAACTTGATAATACATAGTACGTATGCGCATACCACCAGGAATATATATTTTCAGCTCTGATCACTTGGGTAGGATAACCTCAAAGTCAGAATATCAGCAATTTCCAGTAACTAGAAGAGTCTTTGTGAGTCACTGAATCATGAGGAGAACAGGGAGCACAGCCTCACAAGATATACATCTTGTTATTTATTTATAATTTATAGAAACATTTGAAAAGCCTTGAGGTCTTTTTTTTTTCCCCTAATTGCTTAGCCAAAGACTCATTTTTCAATGTTTAAGTCACTTTTGACTTACACTTCTAAATGACTCAGATGCTTTTAATGATTTTTCTCTGAGTCAATCAATCAATTTATGTCTGTTTTTCTACTGGTAACATGTTAGAAGTGTTGCTAAGATCAAGTGTATCACAGACAAAGGCTCTAGATTCTGTAGATATTGTAAATACTTTTTCAAAATGTTCCTACCTTTTGCAGGCAACCTTTACCACAGTGGTTGCCACATGTTTTGGGTAATAGCACACTGTCAACCTGCAAAAATGTTCACAGACTTTCCCGAATTGCCTTGTAATTCAAAACCCAATAAAGACAGTATGATTTTGTAAATCCACTCTGTATTTTACCACAGTTTAGGGCCACCACTGGTTGCTGACCACATTTTGGGGAACCACCAGTATCTGTAGCCTTGCACACAAAAACTTATCTGGCTCTCTTCCTCCCCATGATAATTTCTGCACAATCACAGCAATCACAGCGTTCATTTGTTACCTCAGTGCCTGAATTAGCCCCTTCCTCTGAGGTAGCCAGCTGTGCGGCGTGAGAATGAAGCAAAGCTCTGCACTGCAGATTTCAGTTTGAAGACGGTTACTGCAGATATTTTGCTCAAAACTACTGACTATCAAAGCAAGGGGAGATCAAGAAATCAGCAGACACAGAGACTAAATTACTTCCTCGTTTTTGCAGAATTTATCCAGGACAGGACAGGAAAGGTTAGCACTTGTGGTGGACAAGTTTCCATTACATTTCTATTTCCAGGTGTTTACAGCTGATGAAGAACATGATCTCAACATTCACACGACAACCTTCTGGCAACTATAAGGGGTAAAAATCAGCTGCATACACAAGATATGGGCTGCAACTCCTCAGCTGTGTGTTCTACCATTTGCCAAATGGAGGTGGTACAAATGAGAGAAAAATAATCAGGTGCAGCATCCAGGGAGGGGCAGAGCAAATCAATACTGCTTACACACTCAGAACTACTACAAGGCATAGAGTCAGCAAGTCTAATGCAACCACAAAGGTCCTTCTGGGCACCAGCTGGCAAGTCCCATGTTAACAGGAGCTTCTGGCCCAAGCCTAAAATGGTACCAAGGCAAGGAGCTCTGAGCTTGAGGTTTCCTCTGCTGTCTCTTAGGATACTGACCGGATATATTGGATATATAGAAAAAACACTAACTAGCTTAGCATCCCGTCATTCTCTATTGAAGATGATCAGGGTAGTCATGTAGGCATTGAAATGGTGAAACACCTGTGAGGAAAGGACTTAAAGGTCATTGCAGCATTTGCAAAAGATCACAGAGTACAGGCTGGGATTACCATTGTGAAGTGTGATTGATAAACAAATCAGTTTAAATAACAGAGTCTTGTGAGCAATAGAAGGACAAATAGCTGGAAAATGACTGGAACCTTTTAGTCTCCTTTTCAGCTACAACTTTGAAAGGAAAAACAAACAAGATGGCAAGCAGCCTGCTGAGAATGGATGCAATCTCCATCAAAGTGGCAATATTACCTTTCACTAGCCTGCGATGGACTTCACCTTGCAGAACAGAGAGCTAGTTCTAAAGAACAAAGCCATCAGGAATGATTGAGAAAGCAGCAGGACACTGTGGCAAGGAAACAGAGCAAGGAAATGTGAATGTTTTTTCATTTCTAAAGAGTTGACGAAAATGCTCCAGAACAAACTCTTCAGAGATGCTGGGGGCCAGGGGGGCTGGGAGGAATTGCACGAAAGAACAAGCATTGGCTTCCAAGTTGAGAACAAAGAAAGGGGTAATGAGGCATGGCTGTCTTTCAAAAAATATAATAAATATGAAGAATTAGCTACCAAGGCAAGTCGTTGGCATGAAAACAAAAGAATGGATGCATACAGAAAGAAAAAGGAAAAGGAAGGATGAGAGTTTCCAAATGCAACAAAATGAACTGAATGCCTTTCCAAGAAAATTCTACAAAGCAGAGACAGCAGTAATTAGCCTGTTTCCTTCCCCAGAGCTTACTGTCTTTTGTTCCAAAGTAGTTATAAGTTTCAGAGACCATAGGCTCATGATGATCTGCTTATTGAGAGGAAGAGCTCTCTCCCCACTCTGGTACAAACAGATGTGACAGAAATCTTGCACTTCTGCAGTTTTACAGGTTTGCTGCATGAAGAATGCTCTTGCTATTCTTGACAGTATCAGAGAAAGAAAACTTCAGCTTTTCAGTTTCCGTCTCAATGTGTGGGTTCACAAAGGAACCATAACCTAGCTCCTAATAATTACTAAGATTAATCAGAAAATAATACCAAAAAACAATAGTCACAGTTGAACAACAGAGTTAAAGAAGAACAAAGTGAGCAAAAGTATTGTCAGCTCTTGTAAAGTTTCCCTGCATTTTGTGTTTGTGTACTAAT